GAATGAACCTCATTGGTTCTTGCAGAAGCTCAAACGTGCTGCTTAACACGAGAATGAACCTCATGAGTTCTTGCAGAAGCTCAAACATGCTGCTTAACACGAGAATGAACCTCATGAGTTCTTGCAGAAGCTTAAACGTGCTGCTTAACACGAGAATGAACCTCATGAGTTCTTGCAGAAGCTCAAATGTGCTGCTTAACACGAGAATGAACCTCATTAGTTCTTGCAGAAGCTCAAATGTGCTGCGTAACACGAGAATTAACCTCATTAGTTCTTGCAGAAGCTCAAACGTGCTGCGTAACACGAGAATTAACCTCATTAGTTCTTGCAGAAGCTCAAACGTGCTGCGTAACACGAGAATGAACCTCATGAGTTCTTGCAGAAGCTCAAACGTGCTGCGTAACACGAGAATGAACCTCATGAGTTCTTGCAGAAGCTCAAACGTGCTGCTTAACACGAGAATGAACCTCATGAGTTCTTGCAGAAGCTCAAACGTGCTGCTTAACACGAGAATGAACCTCATGAGTTCTTGCAGAAGCTCAAACGTGCTGCTTAACACGAGAATGAACCTCATGAGTTCTTGCAGAAGCTCAAATGTGCTGCTTAACACGAGAATGAACCTCATGAGTTCTTGCAGAAGCTCAAACGTGCTGCTTAACACGAGAATGAACCTCATGAGTTCTTGCAGAAGCTCAAACGTGCTGCTTAACACGAGAATGAACCTCATGAGTTCTTGCAGAAGCTCAAACGTGCTGCTTAACACGAGAATTAACCTCATTAGTTCTTGCAGAAGCTCAAACGTGCTGCTTAACACGAGAATGAACCTCATGAGTTCTTGCAGAAGCTCAAACGTGCTGCTTAACACGAGAATTAACCTCATTAGTTCTTGCAGAAGCTCAAACGTGCTGCTTAACACGAGAATGAACCTCATGAGTTCTTGCAGAAGCTCAAACGTGCTGCTTAACACGAGAATTAACCTCATTAGTTCTTGCAGAAGCTCAAACGTGCTGCTTAACACGAGAATTAACCTCATTAGTTCTTGCAGAAGCTCAAACGTGCTGCTTAACACAAGAATGAACCTCATGAGTTCTTGCAGAAGCTCAAATGTGCTGCGTAACACGAGAATTAACCTCATTAGTTCTTGCAGAAGCTCAAACGTGCTGCGAAACACGAGAATGAACCTCATTAGTTCTTGCAGAAGCTCAAATGTGCTGCTTAACACGAGAATGAACCTCATGAGTTCTTGCAGAAGCTCAAACGTGCTGCGTAACACGAGAATGAACCTCATTGGTTCTTGCAGAAGCTCAAATGTGCTGCGAAACACGAGAATGAACCTCATTAGTTCTTGCAGAAGCTCAAACGTGCTGCGTAACACGAGAATGAACCTCATGAGTTCTTGCAGAAGCTCAAACGTGCTGCGAAACACGAGAATGAACCTCATGAGTTCTTGCAGAAGCTCAAACGTGCTGCGAAACACGAGAATGAACCTCATTGGTTCTTGCAGAAGTTCAAACGTGCTGCTTAATACGAGAATGAACCTCATTAGTTCTTGCAGAAGTTCAAACGTGCTGCTTAATACGAGAATGAACCTCATGAGTTCTTGCAGAAGCTCAAACGTGCTGCGTAACACAAGAATGAACCTCATTGGTTCTTGCAGAAGCTCAAACGTGCTGCGTAACACGAGAATGAACCTCATGAGTTCTTGCAGAAGCTCAAACGTGCTGCGTAACACGAGAATGAACCTCATGAGTTCTTGCAGAAGCTCAAACGTGCTGCGAAACACGAGAATGAACCTCATTGGTTCTTGCAGAAGTTCAAACGTGCTGCTTAATACGAGAATGAACCTCATTAGTTCTTGCAGAAGTTCAAACGTGCTGCTTAATACGAGAATGAACCTCATGAGTTCTTGCAGAAGCTCAAACGTGCTGCGTAACACAAGAATGAACCTCATTGGTTCTTGCAGAAGCTCAAACGTGCTGCGTAACACGAGAATGAACCTCATGAGTTCTTGCAGAAGCTCAAACGTGCTGCGTAACACGAGAATGAACCTCATTGGTTCTTGCAGAAGCTCAAACGTGCTGCTTAACACGAGAAGGAACCTCATGAGTTCTTGCAGAAGCTCAAACGTGCTGCGTAACACAAAAATGAACCTCATTGGTTCTTGCAGAAGCTCAAACGTGCTGCTTAACACGAGAATGAACCTCATTGGTTCTTGCAGAAGCTCAAACGTGCTGCTTAACACGAGAATGAACCTCATGAGTTCTTGCAGAAGCTCAAACGTGCTGCGAAACACGAGAATGAACCTCATTCGAACATGATGCAGGGCAATTTTGTCTTAAATTTGTATAGCAATATCATACGAGTAAGAGTGCTGTTTCCCCGAGTATCTGTACGATTGCAAATGGGAAATTGATTTTATACAACAGTTCAATAAACAAGAAGTTAATTTTGTGTTACATTTTAGACAGAATATTTTCAATATTGTCTTTGCTCAATTTCGCCAATAAAAATTTAAATAAAGACACTGCAGAACTGTTGTACATCTCTGAGCAACACACAGCAGTATTTCGTTACTGAACGAATCCCGTGTTTTTTAACGAATCGAGTGAGCCAATAATTCAGTGACCCATTCATAAAGACTCATTGGCCCTGTCCCAAATGGCACACTCCGGACTTGTGGACTTCCTCAGAGTCCACCTGTCGGTGACGTCATGTAGTGCAGACCTATAGGGCCCTTAGCGTGAGTCCGCGAGGGCGCATTGAGAGGTATTTTTCTGAGACGGTCTGATTGTTGTTATAGACAGGAGCTACAGGTTCGGGGAAATATGCTGCCTATTGTTGTTGTGTTTACATATGACTCAGTAAAGCCCTGAAATTCTGTTCTATTCATTTAATGAATCATAATGCGATCGTATTATTCAGCCATGTTAACAATTGTCCGTGAGCGAAATCTCCTCCCATCCGTTGTCTGATTGGCCTTTCGCAAGGATTCCTGGGTAGTTAAAGTGCGTGGAGCCTGCATCTATTCGGGCTTCGTGGAAGACCGCTTCAAGGGTACAAAGGGGGCGCTACTGAGCACACTTCAGAGCGTTAAAATGCTAAATGGGACAGCCTACCGTAGACTCGGCGAGCACGCGCAATTTAAGTCCACGAGACCGAAAGTCTGCATGAAGTGCGCCATTTGGGACAGGGCCATTGGCTTCATTCCTGAATAAATCAGCCATTTGAATTAAAGGAATAGTTCACTTAAAGGAGTCATAACCTGTAATTTTCACTTTTCCACGAGAATCAATGTATGTTATGATTGCCTAACGATTATACATTGGCCGGGAAGCCGATATTCAAAAGTGAAGCGTTTGTTTACCCCAGTGTTCGTAAACCAGCCCACGTGCACGCGCACTCAATTACGAGATTTTAATTTCTCCCCCGACTTGACGTCAAGACGGGGCAGGATATACCATATATGGACACCGCAGACATATGCTGCAGGAAGCCCGCCCTGCCCCTCTACCCCTCATATTCAGTCAAGAAAGATGCAGAAATGTAGTGCACACGTGAGTTGCTCTGTGGTTGACTGCCAGAATCAACATTCAAATGTGTTTTCTCTACCAAAAACGGACCAAACTACCAGGGACCAGTGGATGAAATTCATTTTTAATGACGCTGTTCCAACAACCCTATCACCTGGCTCAACGTTAGGTGTTTTTTTATTTATTATATCTATGGGGTTCATTCACAACTTGCGCCATGATGTCATCTTGGAATGATATGCTGAAGTTACCTGCGGTGTCAAGCCCCCTCCTTCCTGCCACCAATCAACGCGCCCCTCATTTGCATTATTAAAATGACCGTCCACGACAGCCAAAATATCGCATCAGATCTCGCGAGACAATAATGCATTCAGAAATAAGGATCAGGGGAGCTCTGTGTTTATTTTTTTTTCCACTTTTCTTTTTTAGAAGGGCCTGAAAGACTATAATAGAGCGTGGGTATCCAAGGTAATACTAGGTTATGACTCCTTTAAAAATTAAAGTTTTTTTTTTAATTCTGTCATCATTTAATCACCCTCAAGTTTGAATTTCTTTCTTCTGCTGCACACAAAGGAAGATATTATGAAGAGTGTCGGTAACCAAACAGTTGATGGACCCCATTGACTTCCATAGTAGGAAAAAATACTATGGCATGCTTATTTGTCCAGTAGATCAAAAAGATCTGAAAAAGTCCATACATTTACCCACCCATAGATCCTCCCCTCAAAGAAATCAGGACAGAATTGGTTGAAATTTTGATTAAAATACCAGGTGTCTCCCTCGTCTGCTTGTGATCCGATCGACCAACACACATCTTAATAAAGTGTATCAGGTTACCAGGTGTAAATAGGGCCTATAGAGAACACATTAGAATCTAAAATTGTTTATACCCTCTTCCTTCAATACAAACCCTCTCCATCTGGCTCATGAAAAATCATCCGTTCTCTCCATTCATGCTTCAGGGGGCTAGAAATCATACTTTGTCATAAAACAGGAATAATTTCATGGTTCTTCTCTGAAAAGGGCCTGTGTATTCCCCATGTGTGTTTTGTGCTGTGCTCAAGGCTGATTATATATGCATCTGTTTACTTGTTGTCCCCTTGATTCATTGTCTGAAATGATCAATCTTTAAAAAGGTTTTCACTGCAGCCGTCCCCATACACGGCCAAAGGGCTGATGGGAAATGAGGCTTTTGCTGGTAGATCTAACTTCTTCTTGATTAGGGGCAATCAACAGTAACGGGGCTGGTGGTTACTCATCTTAAAAAGACATTAGAGATGTGCTCAGCAAAGCCTTCTGGGTGGTGATCACGACCAAACCACCTCATTCATTTTTGAAGGAGGAAGGCTGGATCTGTGATTTGGGCTCTCTGATCATTAGGGTTCCTGTCCTTAAGCCTTTGTTTAATAGACTTTCAGATGCTGTAGTGGATCTAATGCTGCTAATGACTTTCTCTCTTTCCAATCGCAGGTCATGTGCCTTCAAGATTTCTTCGGGGAGGAGGACATCTACATCGCATGCGGCCCGGAGAAGTTCCGTTACCAGGATGACTTCCTGTTGGATGAGAGCGGTAAAGAGCTCTTCAGTAGTTTCCTTTGTGTCCATTTCAACAAAAGAACACTACATGATCTCATCAGCATAAGGTCTGTGTGGATGGAATCTTCCACCTACACAGAAACTTTCTCTTTGTCCCATCTTGAATGAAGAACATCCTGTTACCATTTAGTTCATAAGCAACTTATGAATGAGTCCATTAAAAATTCATCACACAAATGTGGAATATAAAAGAAAGGCATATTCCCCCTTAACGCCTACACCAACCACTTCTGGGTTTTTGCCGTCTCCACGTAGATAGACAGATAGACCCCTCTCCTCTCCTCTCCTCTCCTCTCCTCTCCTCTCCTCTCCTCTCCTCTCCTCTCCTCTCCTCTCCTCTCCTCTCCTCTCCTCTCCTCTCCTCTCCTCTCCTCTCCATGTTTTCCTGTTGTGTTGTTGTCAGGAAATGAGAATCTGTATGTGGCTCTGTCTGGTTTCCTTTTATTAATAGTGTGGAGAGACAAAGGCTATGGCGGTTTGACTCTTCTGTGCTGATGTGAGCTCAGTAAAGAGCAGGCGCCCCAGTTTTCTGAAGTGTATTCGGAAGAGCTCTCTCTATTATTGTTGGAGGTTGGAGGTTTTGCCCCATAATTTCCTCATTGGATGTAAAAACTATCATCTATCCATCTATCTATCTATCTATCTATCTATCTATCTATCTATCTATCTATCTATCTATCTATCTATCTATCTATCTATCTATCTATCTATCTATCTATCTATCTATCTATCTATCTATCTATCTATCTATCTATCTATCTATCTATCTATCTATCTATCTATCTATCTATCTATCTATCTGCCATCTGTCTATCTTTCTGTCTCTCTGTCTGTCGATCTTTCCGTCTTTCTGTCTTTTTATGTCCATCCATCCACCCATCTATCTATATATCTATCTGACCGATTAATTGATAATTCTATTGAGTTATTACCTGAGGCTATTACCGAATTAGAGCTGCACTGTACAGAACAAATGTAATGAAGAATATCAGATGATTTATCACGGTGGATTAGAGCGAGTGCAGTCAATCATGAGTAGAGATTTAATTATGAAGGCACTAGTAGAGGGACACGTGCCGTTCTAATGAGTTTTGATCAGAGCCGAGAGGAACATATGAAGCATGCCGATGGCGAGATGGACGGAGCCAAAATGGCAGTCTTTGACGACAAAGATTTCCCTAAAGAACACATATTTAATATAATAGGAGCAGAATGGTACCCCATAACAAGCACTTTGTCAGTGATATCCCATGTTTGTTTTTATTTGATCTATAATACTCTAAGTTATTGTCGATTAAGACGATTATGTAAGGCTGTGATTAACAATTGAGAAAGCATCTTTTTACTGTATAAGGAGGTGATTTGTTAGTACTGGAGAGATAAGGGCTGAAACTTGCTCTCTAAATGTAACTCCATGGAGACAAAGAGTAGAGTGGCATCCTGCCCTTCAATAAATCCTGCCTTAATAGACTGTGGCATTTACTGTCATACCTGGTGTCACAGTTATATTGCTTTCTGAATATATTATGTACACAGAGTTATTGCAGCAAAAGCAAAAATGGGACAGATAAACACGGAGCATGCGAGAAGCTAAGCAGCACTTCGTCTCTAATGTAATCCCCAGTCTCTGATCTGTATTTAGGGTTAAGGCACTGCCATCTTTTTGATCACACTTGCATAAATGTGCTTCAACAAGCAGACTGTTTTTGAAGGAGGATTCATTTAGTGCTTCAGTTTAAGGATTATCTTCGGGAAGAGTTTGAGTTTTAGAGGACCTTTAAAGAGGATTTGAGATGGCAATCAAACTAGAGAGTCATTTGGTGGTGTGATATTAAAAACGATTTAAATAGTGAAAATTAAGCAATCAGCTAGTTGACAGCCTCATTCACTTACCCTCATGTCTTTCTTTCTCGTTCTTTCTTTCAGGACATTGGGGTCTAAACAACATTGGTCTCCCTTGACATTTTTCAAAATATCTTCCTTTGTTTCCGATAGATAGCAGAAGGGCAACATACCAAATACTAAAACTTTCTGAAATGGACATTTATTTTTCAGCTGCCAAATAGTAGTACTTTCATTCGTTTTTCAGACTTTTGGACTTCACTATGTAATGTGATTTTTGTTGTGTGACAGAGTGCCGGGTAATGAAATCAACGTCCTATGGGAAGATGGGGTCTTTAAACAGAAGCTCTCCCAGAAGCTTTGCCTTTTCCAGACGCAGCAAGTCTCCTTCTGGATCAGGTAATGATCATATGTGCATGCGGGTTTATGCAACAGCAAATGCTTCTCTGAATAGTTTCTTGTGGACATGTGAACTCCCTTCTCAAACATACTCTCTTTGTCGATTGAATATTTGTTAAAAGAAGATAATTAACTTCTCACATCAGATAAAAACAAAGTTATAGGAAGTCACGTGTGACAGCTCTCCGTGCAATAAAGCACCCCTCTGTGTGTGCACCCCTGGAGCGGAGTGTGTTTGCTGGCTTCGAGGTGGAATTGCATTCAGATATAGCTGTCTGATTCAGAAGGGCACATCCCGGTGGAGAGGAGTCAAAAGACGAGAGATATGAGATATTGAGGCACAGGGCGGGAAGTAGATGGGGTGATGAGAGAGAGAGAGAGAGAAAGAGAGAGAGAGAGAGAGAGAGAGAGAGAGAGAGAGAGAGAGAGAGAGAGAGAGAGAGAGAGAGAGAGAGAGAGAGAGAGAGAGAGAGAGAGAGAGAGAGAGGAGATGGAGGGGGTAGTGTGACTCAGTCTTGCAGATCCACATCAACTGTTGTGCAATGAATACTGTTGTGTGTGTGATCTGAATTATAGGCACTATGCGGTTTGCTTTTGTTCCAGTTTGCACTGGTGATTACCATATTCAAATGCCATGTTACAATACATGCATGCTACTCCATATTCCAAAAAGATAATAGAATTAAAGGTGTTAAATGGTACTTTGGATTGAATGCAAAGTCTAAATTGTACTGCAAACCAGACTGTGCATCAACTACTGCTTATTTATTCGATTTTAGGTATAAAGGTATGAATGAGTGTTTCCAGGGGTAAAAAATCAGCTGTTTATGGATAAAAAAAAAAAACGCATGCACTTCCTATTGATGCTTTACTGTGTATCTGTGCTCTAGTTTTCTAACAAAGACCGCCTTTGCGTCTTCACCTCTATAAGATGTGTGGCAGAGACGTCTAGAAGCTGCTGGTTGATATTTTTTTCCTGTAGCCGTTATATGATTGGCTTAAATCGTACCAGTTGAATCTCTATGAGTAGAGGTTTGGCTTAGAGTTCTATCCGGTCGTCATGGAGACGCCGGCTAAGGGAGCTGTGCCTTGGAGACAATAGAAGTGCCCATATATGGGCGTCCCTTCCTGTTTGGCAGGCTTAGTGGAAGCAGGCTCAGAGAGTGTGGCTCATCACTTCTAGTCAGGCGGCTGTTTCTCAGCAGACACTCACAGACGTGATCCATAAAAGCATGGAATCGGTTTCACTTCGAGTGATTGGTGTGCCAGTCATACATTTTCAAAATACAGCTCGTTAATCCTTTAAGAAACCCCGGGGTGAGGGAGAATGTGCCAGGTTTGCAAAGGTTTCATTACTGGTCTGGTTTAAGAATGAATTTACTGCGGAATTCATGGTCTGGTCTGCAAAGTTTGATGATAGTTTAGAAATAAAGTTCTAAGAAATTAAAAAGTTGTAGACATTATGCTGGGTATGTTGGTTCTTTCGCTGCCTGGGTTTTCAATCAGAAGGTCAATCAATGGAGGCTGTAATATAAAAAATTGAATTTTCTTAAATTCTAATGCCATTTCTAAATATTGTCTAATGTTCTTAACCCTATAAAGCCTACTGTATTATATTTCAGATTTTTAAGGTCTCTAAATTGTCTCCATGATCAAAATCTGTTGTACACTATCTTCTACATGACTTCTGATCGTTTATACTTTTTAGCAAGTAAAAGGCCTTTTAGTATAATTCTATAAATTTCCACATTCAAGTCGTGTCTTTTTGCTGTGAAATTTTTCATAATGTAAAAGCAAGAATAACTTTTATACTGTTAGTATTCATGTCAAGATGAAGATTTACTGGACTGTAGCAACTTATAGGTTTACTTGATTATCCATAGGCTTTTGTTTATCTATTCTTGCTCATTTTGGGTCTCAGTTTGAGCTCCATTTTCCAAATACTCCCAAATATTTTGATTTTTGTCTCAAGGTTCAATAAAGACCTGGTGGCTAACGCACTCACGGATCCAAAATAATGTTACTGTTACACATTTTTATGAACAGTTTACAACTGTTTTACGTTATTATTCGCCATTAATAAGCTGTGAAAAAGAGCTAATTTTGGCACTTCTATGTCAGAGGCGGCTTTATTATGTGTGTGCACTTCGGATGTGAGCCCGAAATCTGCGGGAATGAGTTATGTGCAATCCTGCGCCGAAATTCAGACCCGGTCATGCCAACACTATCCGGAGTGAATCAGACGACTGATATTTCAGTATGGATACATATAGAAATATTGATATTTTTGACAACACTACATGACGTTGCTGTGCTGTATGGTCTCAAAAGCTTATCGTTTGCATGTGTTAAGCATGGCGGTTTAAAAACAAGTGATTTTAACCCATTGAAATGCAATAAGCAGTGAAAGAGAACTTATTTCGCTCAAAGAGAACTCATTTCACTAAATGGAAGTGTATATAGTATACTCATTTACTCATTTCACGCATACAGGAAGCCGCTGCTCAGAGCGTTTAAGAATTGAACTTAAGCTTTTTTCAGCGCAATTGGGCTTGTACGGTTAAATACACAAACAGTACTTAGGTGTCAAAATGTCCGTCCTCGAAAACACATTTATGTCTTGTTGAGAGAGAAAACGCATATGTAACAGTATATTGAATCCATGCATTCGATCTTAAAGTGACCTGCTGTCGTTTGTGTCATTAATGTTAATCAAACAACAAAAAAGAGAAAATATCTCACTGTTCATGAGTAAATCACTTTTGAGAGACTTTAATTTATTTAATTAAATTATTTAATTTACACAGTGAAGATATGCAGTGATTTTTTTAAACATTTGATTACATGTAGTTCATTGTATAAATACAAATAGTTAATAAATTCTTCAGAATATCTTCTTTTATGTTCCCCAGAAGAAGAAAAAAGTCACAAGAGTTTGGAACGGCATGAGAATAAATCATGAAATCTTTGAATCATGAAATGATCCGTTATTTTTATATAATGATACATTTTTTAAAATAATTATTCATTAGATATTTTAAGATTCTTAATGAAAATTATTATTAAGTCTGGGTTGGTGGTCTCTGTAATGTTTAAATTGTTTGGGTTATTTAATTTAGTCTTCACCTGCAGCTAAAGCATTGAAAACCTAAGCCTTACACCGTCTTTATTTCTCGCTCTCCTACTAGGAGTCCCACACTGGTGTGGGCAGGTATATACTTAGTGGAGGCGTCCTGTACTTTCTCAGCAAGACCAGTGGACAGATATGATTGCAATTGCAATTTTGTAGCTGTTGCGTTGCTGTTTGGTTATTGTTACTTCTAGGTGGTAGCCAATGTCATTGTATTCACTGGTACCAGAACCGGTCATGCCGATGGTCAATTTATAGACTAAAAATTCCCGTCACTGAAAGGGTCAAACAGACTGGCTGATAAACAGGCATCTGCCTTTTAATCTGTCAGACAGCATAGGTCAAATGTGAGATATTTCTTGTGATGAATCAGATAAGTGATTTCAAGAAAGGTCTAGCATGTCCTTACTTTAAGTGTCTGTGAGAGAAGCTGCTCACTGTATGAGTGCTGTTTATATAATACACCCTGTCAGGCTAAGTATAGCACATTGATTTCTGTTTGAGAGTGGCCTGCACCCCTTTAAACACACATGAACGCACTTTTGGTGAATTTCTATACAAATGGCAATGATGTACTGTTTGTGTACAGTTACGAGAAGCCTTTTGTTTTTTAACACAACGAAAAACTGAAGCCCATGTCATCCTGCGAATTATTCACAGTTTGAGCGGTACGATCAAGTGTTGAGCATGACAACACATTTAGAGGTGCTTTAACAAAGGAGACACAGCGAGACAGACATAAACAGCCTCTCTCTGTCATATTTATCAACAACTGTGTGGGATGGCGGAGATGGTTCATTACAGACTGCATGTCTTTCTGTGCCTGTCCTATTTACTGAAGGCATCCTTCCAAAGGATTTCTGATCTATAATCTTAGGTCGTTCTCCTCACAAATTTCTGTTAAGCTTTCCTTTGAATTTGCACGGAGGAGCTTGGCCTTGTAGTCGACTGAATTTTTATCCGAGCAGTTTATCCAGAGAGTAAACTTTAATTAGAGCACCAGAGAATAATCTTTAATCAGCTTGAAACACCGCTGGCTGACTGTCCTCAGGAAATGCAGAGCTGCTCCTGTCACTCTAATTCAGAGACCTTGTTATTATTCTTACTGTGTAATTCTAGCCAGTTGCTCAGCTTGTTACTGACAAACCCACAAACAGCTCATTAACCCATTAGCATGTGCCCTACAGCAGGAAAACTGAACTATAACTTTCGTTAACGCATGTTTATTATTGTGTATGAATCATCGTTGCACGTATATTTTCTTCAAGCATTAAACACCAGAGAAAAAATCAATACAGAAAGTATCTTCATATTAACATAGTACTGTGCATAGGGTCCTATTTTTACAGACTTTTCTAGAGTGTAGCTAACATCCATTGAAATATAGTCATTCCAAGGTGAAACAAGTGAATACACTTTCATTTTTTTTTTTTTTTTGGAATAACATAAACTGAAAATTATCTTTTTCTATAGATTTTTTTCTTATAGTGTAGGCTGCAGGCTACTGGCTAACATGTACATTTATGCATCTGTAATTTTTTTTATCCAAAGTGACTTATGTATCGCATTCCATATTGCATATATTTTATCAGTTTATGCATTCTCTGGGAATCAAACTCATGACCTTGGCGCATGTTGCTAGCACCATACTCTACAGTTTGAGCCCTAATAGCAAAGTCCAAGTCAAGTCTCACGTCTATGAAGTCCAAGTCCAAGTCAAGTCTCAAGTCTCTGGGTCCAAGTCAAGTCTCAAGTCTTTGAGGTCCAGGTCCAAATCAAGTCTCAAGTCTTTGGGGTACAAATCCAAGTCAAGTCTCAAGTCTTTGAGTCCAAGTCAAGTCTAAAGTCTTTGGGGTACAAGTCCAAGTCA